GGGCACACAGTGCATCAGGGGTTCCCACACTCACCACATCTCGTACGCTAACCTCAACCGCGCGCCCCCGCCTCACCTTCCCAAAATTTTCCCCGCCCCGGGGTTTCCAGCCGGTAGCGTTTCGAGTCGTCCAGCGACGAATCGTTCCGGAGAACGGTTCCGCCAAACACCGCACCAGCACCAACCACTGCCTCTGACCCACCACTGGCGGGGAGATCGATAGCGCCATGTGGGGGCAGCGGCGGCGGCGGGGGTACTCTGCCACTGCGCCCGCCGACGCCTCCCAGGATCACTCCCGGAGGGGCGGGAGCGGGTGCCCCGCGCATGCTGCCCAGGACGGGGTCCGGCGTTGTGCTTGTACTGCCGCCTTGCGAAGCGTCTCTCAGGCGGCCCGAGATATCTGCCACCGCGCTTCTGGGCGGGCACAGCGCCGCCAGGCCAGCGGCAACGTCGTCGGCGAGACTGGGTGCGAACACGTCCACCTTGGAAGTCTTCCCTTTAACCTGCCAGGATGGGGGTGGGTGGGCTTAGTACTGCCCACGGGCGTCGGCAAAATAGCAGTAATCTTGAGACGGCCGTGGATGGATCTCTGCATTCCTGCATGTCCGTGACGGTCATGTCAGATTTTCCCTCGCCAGGAGGGACCATAATACGAGGCACGCGGCCAGGAGGGAGGGGGTTGTGACTGCCTGATGAACACCAGCGGAGACTGCAGTTGAAGGGGATGTGGGGGGCGGGCGCCATCATCAATCTGCATCCTGGGCCTTCGCATGAGGTCAGGTCGCCAAAACGAGTCCGAAAAGACTCGCCGCGAAGGCGCCAGACCGGCCCAGTTCTCAGGTTCCAAAAGCGGTAATCCTTGAACCGAACGGTGCAAGGTCAATTGCTGTAAACCCATTTGCATGTTTCAGACACAAGCAAGATGTCCATTGCGGACGCCAGACACAAGTACCCAACCCGGCCGGCCAAGTGCCGGTGCGCTTCGTGCCAGACACAACACATTCCGGGGTCTCACGTCTCAATATGAAGGCTGAGGCCGTGCATAAACATGAGCACTCCCCCCCCCTACGCCACAGCGAATGCCTCGCGGGGCCACAACACGGGCCGTCGAACCATGCCCACCTTGATAGCCTCGAGCTCCAAGAACGCCAGCTGGTCCGTTTTTCTCGCCTCGTTAAGAGTCTCCGCTTCAAGCACGACCCACCTATTGAACGATCCCTCCCACAAGTCCACCCCAACGCCCCCCTCCCCCCCTAGTTTCTTCCGTTGCGAGGTTGGTGTCGCCAACGGCGTCAAAGGAAACCCGGCGTCCATCTCTTGCTGTTCCCCCCTCTGTAGCGCCGAGTCTGGCCTATTTCCAGTTATTATTCTTGCCGCCACCGCGGCGGCAGGGCTGCCGACACTACAGCCGTCTACAGCCGTCTTGTCGACATTAGTGCTGATTCTGACGTTCCCTTTCTGGTTCTTCGGCGACGGCGAAGTGACGGTGCTTCTGCCGGTGGTGCTGCTGTTCGTCTTGCCCGCCTGGAAGAAGCAGGTTCGTGTGCATTTGGTCCACACGAACGTGGAGTAATACGTTTCCTCTCGCATGTCATTGCCAGTTACGGGGTATTGTGAGGTGGCATTGATTGTCAGGAACGGATTCAATGCATCCTTTACAGTAATTCGAAATATCGACCTTCCACCGACACCAGCACTGAAACACAATAGACAAGCTACGGACCAACAAGGGCAGGAGGGGGAAAAACCTATGCTTGCACAGAGTTCGTGAAGTTGCGAGGCTGTACGAAACACAAGGCCACCACCTCGTGCTGGGTTGGTAGTTTTCGTGTGTGGTAGAAAGCGTTCTGCGTCACCCGTTCGTCCGTAGTAGGTTGGCCGCGAACGAGGCTGTTGCAACATGTCACCATAGTCGCATAAAACAGCCTATGGCCGACCCTTCGTCACAATGAACCACCAGCATGTGCAGTAGGAAACGCGTGCATCACCTGGGTCTTAGGCCGGAGCCTCCGGCTCTTCCTGGCGCTCATGAGCCGCTGTGCCAAGTTAACCGTCTCCGAGATCATCGCGAACTCCCGCCTGGTCGGACGTACGTCACCATGAAAGACAGAACGCCACAAACATCGCTCGTCGACAAACTATGGTTGATCGATGTCATCATAGAAGGCAGACAACCGCAGCTCGCTCGTGGACTAACTATGATTCATCAATGTCGCCATAGAACGCGCACAACCACAGCATCACCCATCGACTAGCTATGGTTGATGGGCGCCAGCACAGGGGTGAACGCGCCACCAATAGGGAAGGGCTACCACCAGAAGCCCCGCCTAACCAACACTCTTGCTTCGTATATATCTTCTTAGGGACAGCTAAACGGCCGAGATCCATAACCTCGAGCCTTCCCCAGGACATACGCCCCACCAGCGAAAGCTACGCAATCGAAGAAGACACCCGTTGCAAGGTCACAAACCAACGGTGAACGAAGCAGTACCAACAACGGCGGCACCTGTCTTCAGAGCCGAGAGAGCCGCAGAACACCGGCCCAGTGGCCACCCCCGCGTGGCACCGCGCGAGTCCCCGGGCCCGCAGCCTGTCCGTGCATTCCATGGCGCAGAGGGCTGCACGGGCGGCAGGAAGATGCCCCACTTGCGGAGACAAGCCAAACCCCGCTACCAAAACCTACTCATGGAGCAACAGGGGGGGGGGGGGGCGCACGCGGGGGGGCGTACAGATGATACAAGCGGTTCTTCGACAAATCAAATGCAGTGCAGCACACGCACGCGCGCGCGAACGCCTCAAACACGACACAATTCTGATCACCGAAAGACAGGAAATTACATGCCCGAGAGCCGCGGAGCAAGAGCTCTTCAGGCCAACTAAGGTCACCTAACGTGTCTAGTCCCTTGTAGTTCTTCCTCACCGTGCCCTTGTCGTCGACGGAAAGCTCCTTGATCACGCCCCCGTGGCTCGCCACGATGCTCTGCAGGAGCGAGAAGCTCCCCTGCAGCAGCTCCAGCGACAACACAGCCGGTCCGCTCGCCGTCTCCGCCACCGCCCCACTACCCTTGCCGCGATCGCTCTCCTTCGGCCCGGCACCATAACCCGCCCCCGCCCGTCCATGACCTGAATCCATCGGATTGTTACCATCCGCCGCCGCCGCAGCCGCAGCCCCTAACCCCGGGCCTGCCGGGAGGGCGATGGAACTCCCCCCGGGTGAGGGGCGCGTCGAATCCCTGGGTATTCTCCCGGGGGTTCCAGTGGGTTGCGGCGTTTTGGGTGACTTGCTGATGCTGCTGTCAACGCCTTCGAAGGAGAGGCCGACGAAGAGAACGGCCACCCTCTGAAGCTCTGCCAGGAGGCCGAGCCTCTCCGCCACCTTCGTTTAAGTTCGAGCGCGTTCTGCACGTTTAGTGGTCTGTGCCTTCGACAGGGCGTTACGTGATCGACCGCGCGGACTGCAACGGGGGGGCGGGGGCACGCCGACTCACCAACCCTTCCCTGATCGACTGCGGACAGTAGCCCCTCAGAGCCCGGCCGACTTCCTTCGAGAGCATGGTCATCACCCCCGTCTCCACCTCCTCCAGGAGGGACAGTCGCCTGCGAGAAGGGCACCACCTGCGGTAGACAGATAGACACACACACACGAGCCCTCCCGTGTCAGCGCGTCTCTCTCCCTCTGTCTGTCTGTCTCTCTCGTCTAGAATTTTTCCATTCGAATGACCGGGCGACTTAACACTACAGCACATACTTTGTCGCCATGTCACTTCCACGTGTTGAATTCCTCGCGCCCAACGCGTACCAGGGAAATGAAGCAGGGGGTGGGGAAGTCGGTCCATCGTCCCCCTTGCGCGCCTTTGGAGAGGACACCTGCGCGGCGTGTATGCTATGGGCAAGAGCTAGCTTCTCTTGCCGCCGACCAACACCGCGGTGCCCCCTCCCCCCGCGACGCCTGATAGCCAGCCAGTGCGGGGCAAACAAGAAACGAACCTTCCGCCGGAAGTGACCCTCCCCCCCGCCGCCCCGGACGCAGGATGATCTAACGACACCGATCTTCCGTGCAACGGTCCTGAAACGCCTCTCCCGCCTCCCGCCGCCGCCGCCGCCACCGCCGCCGCCGCCGCGGGGCCAACCCTACCCCCCCCCGAATACGAAGACCTCCGCGGTACCGCCATCTTGGGGGGGGGGGGCACCAGGGGGGGCGAATCAAAAACCCCCTTGCTGCTGCTGCTGCTGTTGACGCCCCCGTCCCCTGCCAGCACCCCTGCCCCGCCATGAGCAGGGGCCATCGAAGCCGCGCCCCCTTCTCCGCGCCCGGCAGCGGCACTACTGCTGCTGCTACTGTCGACGTCGTCGTCCCAGCAGCCCACTTCGGGCCCTCCTAGGCCAGGTCCGGGTGTCCAATGGAGCAGGCGTAACCCGTGAGGGGATGAGGATCCGACTTCCCCTTGTGTCGGGCTGGAACCCCAGCCGGTGCCCGCCAGGTGCTGCCACACCTGGTCGGAGACGACCACCTCCCCGGCACCCGAGGCGTCTAGCGCCTTGGCCACCTGCCGCACCAAAGCGAGCATGGACACGGCTTGCATAAGCGATAGAGGTAGTTGTGTGAGCAAACGCGGCAGTGCTGCGGTGCCGTACGACACGAACCGTACATCAGAAAACAAGGTGTTGCAGCCCCAGGACCTATTTGCAAAGTCCGGTTACGCTACGACGAAGTCGATGGAGAATAACCTACATGCTGCCATTATGTATACTCACTTTCTGTAGAGGAATCGAGGTTTGAAAATCAGCCGAGGGGGTGTGGTATCTTACGCAATGTACCGTGAGGCGAACGGAGACTCTGGTGGGCCTTTCAGCGACTCGCCATGGAGCATCTTTGACCAATAGGTTTTATTGATGAACAAACAAATATTTTCAACTAGCAGAGAAGCTCAACCACGTGGCGTGTCGGTTCTTTCGAGAATGATACCCTCTGGTGGGATGATACTACTCCGACCTCCTTTGTCTCACCGGATGCTCGTAAGCGACATCAGTTATATGCGTAGCCAGATACCCAATCCACAATCCAAGTACGTGTATCTTGCAAAAAAACGTTTTCAACTAGCATGCTCCTTTCCGAAAAGCACTGGCTCAGAGTCTTCAACGGACCGCGTTGTCGACGTTTACGGCGTAAACACCGACGAACAAGAAACGACCCCATCCCTCACCGCAGAGGTGAAGGCTTATCAAGCCTCAGATGGACAAGAAACATACGAAAAAAAATCCCATTTTTCGTACCACAGCAACACCTATTAATAGTGCCCGGCGCACCTGGTTCTCGAAGAGCCCACCGCTAACGACCAGCTGCCACCCCAGCCGGTCGCTTCCGACGTGAAAGCAGCTGACCCGCCCGCAGCCGACGCCTACGTGCACGGAAAGTCCTCCGCTGCCACCGCCGCCGCCCGCCTCAGTTCCGACCGATGCGGCGCAATGCCACCCACACCGCGTGCACGCCAAGCAGAGGTCGGCAAGCTCGAAGTGCGAGACTCCAGCCCCGCCCTTGTGTGTCATGTGTGCAACAGACCGTGCAAGGAAAATATTCGTGCACGCTTGAGAGTGAGGTGGACAGGCAGGCTGGTGAATGATGAGGCACGCTCGTTCGAGGCGTGAGAAGCGCGTGAGCACCAATTACAAGGTAGAGTGTCGATTTTTCATGTATCGTCGCTTTTAGCTTCTCGCTCGCACTTTTTTGGACCATCGCGTGACCTCTAACCCCTCCCCTTCACACCACAAGGTCCATTCCCCGGACCCTCCCAACATCACTAAATCCAAATCAACCCAACCCAGTCTGTTCTTCCACCTGTCGGGAGCAATACAACCGCGATCACGTCCCGGATTGCTACGAGCATTCCCATGTCCATCCCGGGTCTCGTCCGCGCGGGTCGGGTCAGAACAACACCGCACCGGGGCAAACTACCGCCTATATACCACGTATTTTACCGCACAAACGCGCTAGATTCTTCGGACCTGGTGGAACAAGACGATCAGCGCGTCCCCCGCTATCCGGAGGACGTCTCCTCCGTGCCTCTCCACCGTCGAGATCAGCGCGCTGAGGGTCAAGTTGAGGGCGTCCCGCACGCCCTCTGCCCCAAAGCCCTTGGTCTCCTTATCGTTGGACAGGCGGTAGAGGGACGTTATCACGCTGGCGTGGGAGGCTCCGCTGCGGCGGACGCCGCCGCCACGGCCCCCGTCGCCGCCGCGCGCGCCCGCGCCTCTTCCCGCGGCGACGTTCAGGGATGGGATGCCCTGACAGCAGTAACGTCAACGAAGGGAGATACCGGAGGCAGGGAGAGAACGGAATTTCACGTGGTCGCAACGGGGAGCGAGGTCATGGTTTCAGCGCGTTGTGGGAATGGGGATATCAGGGGGGTACACACTTCTGTGGCGCGAAGATTAACCGCGCAACAACAGCACTCCCCGTGTTCCCATGGCACAGTAGCTAGACACAATGCAGCACCTTCATGCTTTGCCTCTACGCTATACTACAGTACGTAAAAATAAGGGCACAAAACAGCACCAGCCGCCACATCGATTCTAGACAGCGGCAAGGTTTACCTGCATCCTTCGCCCGAAGCCTACGCTAACGCGGATATAACCACACAAAACAACAGCAGTCCGCCACACAGCAGCTACACAGCAGGAAGCGTTACCGCACCTTCATCCTTTGCCTCCAGCCGCCGTCGGGCACAAAGCCTTGCGCGAAGCGTTCGCACATGCCCGAGAACCCCGAGACGTCCACCACCATCACGGCAGCGTCAAGCTCGTGCGCCTGGTACGTCAGGGATGTCAGGCAAGATCGTCGACATCAGTTGCGAGACCACCCATCATCGCGCCAGCCCCGCCACCCTCACACACCCCA